AAAAGAATAAGAGTGGAAGAACACAACAGCATGCTAAAAAGGTTAATGAATTTTCAGGAAGAAAATGCCACTGTCATATTGGAAATCATATCCTCAAATGCCTCCTATTTTCTATTTGAAGATACATCAAGAATAACATATGGTCAGTGAAACATATACTTTACTAGAGAAACTAAAAGCACATAAGATCATAGAAACTAACAGACTGGAAGTGAAAATCAGGGTGAAATTATATTTCTGAATTTTGCATAAATCTCAGTCCTTCTCCCCACTTACAAGTATTTCACCTTATGCTTTCAGAATTACAGCAGTCTGCTGTGAACTGTACAGTTACTGTTACACTAGATAACTGCCAGGTAACTGTCCATGTGCACACTCTCAGCCCACAGTAAATGCAAAGCAATTCATGTTACATTAGTTCTGAATGAAAGAGGGCACAGTTTTAGTACAAGAAAAGGGTTTCAAGCGTTAATAAATATTTAACTATACAAAGTTGCAGTTTGCAGTCAATGAAAGACGATTATGCTAACTCAAGTTGCTTCGCCCTGCCACAGGCTAAGGGCACAATCACAGACAGTTATTGAAGATCAGCTTCAGTCCTTTTTTTTTTTTTTTTTGAACATCTGACGTTGGTCAGCTCAACAGGCAGAAATCTTAGCACACCAGGAGATAAGTCTTGTCCAACTTTTATTTAGACATCACAGCAAAAAGACTTAGAGGAGGGATTTGGAGGAGAAAAATGATTTTTCTAAAAAGATGTTTATAAGGAATGCAGGGACTTTATAGAAAGAAAACTAACAGCTGGCCAACGTGGGCTCATATGATGAGCCAATTAACAGCAGGAACAGATATCTTGGGATGAAGGATGATACTAGAATGTACTTAAGCCATGAAAAGTTTAAAGGCAAAGACAAATAAGTTTTGGACAGAAAGAAAGAGAATCAGATACATAAACACAGGTTGATTTTACAAACCAGGAAAAATTATCTTGCAGAATATTCTAATTGACTAGATAACACTGCACTGGCCAAGAAAAAGGAGTTACTGAAATTAAGATGCAAAATAAGAACATTTTAACTGTGGTAATGGTTATGATAGGCCATATCTAACAAAGGTCTCAAAGAAAGAATCTGCAAGATTTGGACACACATCAAACACAAATATTTAGAGAAAGGCCCAAAGTGAAGTTTATGTGCCAGACAGTACAGTCATCCTCCTCATCTGAAGTGAATGAGAAAGAAGACAATGGCAGGGGAAAATTAATAGCTCCATTTTTACCAAGTAGAATATAAACTGATGGCTAGAAATTCACAATGGGATGTCTAAAGGACACACAAGGATTTGAGCGTGAAAAGTTAAAAGAGATTTAACTATTTGCAAACGGTGAATCTCTGAACACACAAATGTTACAAACCAGTACTTTGGGTTAAGTGCTTGGATACAATCTCTGCTATCTACATTAATAAATTATGTTTTCTGATCACAAATTTTACAGAATGCAGTGAAAGTATTTTTTTGATCTATCATTTCTAAAATTCTACAGGTCCTAGAAATGGGACCAATAGGCAGGAATGGCAGTTAAAATAGAAGTTAGCAAAGCAACAGTTAAAATGTCAAACGGGTACATTGCTAGTTGCTTGACTATACAGGAAGCACTTCGTGTATTTGCATCAAATGGAATACTTAAATAAACCACGTGAAAATTGAAATCAGGGGAACCAGAAGGACATCACGAGCAATGGGGAAGAGAGAGAAAGCAATAGCTCATAGTATTGTTTCCCTGATTTGTCTGATGAGGACAGAAAAAGGGACTCATCAGCCCTCAAAGTCATTTTGAAGCCCTAAGAAAAGGCATCCACAATACAGGCTGCTGCAGTTTGCTGATTTTTATGCCCGAAATACACACTAAAAAGCTCATGCAACAACTACACAAAAACACATGGTTGCCAGATATTCTCCAAATATTATCGTCATTGCTTTACTTTTCCCCTCTTGCAACTCAGTCTAACTAACTAGTCAAGAGCCCAACCTGGAATAAAACTAAACATTCACCTTTAAGCTTGTCTAGTGTGAAGGGTCATTTCAATTAAAGCTAGCTCCATAACTAACAGATCTATACGTGTAGGTACCCCACAAAGATACAGGAATTCAGACACGACTTCCACCAAGCCAGAGATCCAAGTGAAAATCTGCCCTCAAGGACGAAACCAGCATAGATCAGTGTCTGCTGTAGCAAAAGTAGGTAAGGCTTACTAAAATATTTGCTTCTCATGAACTCTGGAGAGTTCAATTTTGAATCATAGGTGAGACTAAACAGAGACCTAGAGAGCTGAAAGAAGAAAAGAGAATCTCGGAGAGGAGTATGGAACTCCCACAGAAATCCCAAGGATACTCCCTTTATGGAATTCCTGAAGATGTGAGAAGAAAAACAGGTAAGACGAACACTGCAGAATTTAGGTAAGGAAAAAGATGTAAACACCATCATGGTCACCTCTGTGGAGAGCAAGTGGCATTTCAAAGACAACAAGGACAAAATAGTTGTTTTAAGTTAGGATCAGAGAGATTTGATTAGGTCACATCTTCAGGCAATTTACACAAACAACATTTTCATTATCCTTTGAATTGCTGCTATACATCACTTATTTGCAATGAAAAGCTGATAGACAATGCTAACTCAAAATAGAAAAGGAAACCATATTTTAAACTACTGTCTACAAAGCTTGATATCAAATGATAGGAAAATTTTAAACAAATACTTGAGACAATACAGATCACTATTCAAAGTCAAACCTCTATACAACTTTACTTGAGAAATTTCAGTTTATTGGGTAGAAGCAAGCGAATAGAAAAAACACTACAAAGTGCTAGATATAACCCAATGGGTGCTTTACAATACACCCACATACAGCCCATTCAGCAGCAATTCAGTCTTGATTGAATAATTCTGCTACTTTTGACTTGAGACTCTGAAACCACTAATAAATTAATGACAATTAATAATAATAATTAATTAATAAATTAATGACAAATTTATTTCTCTTTCACTATTTAGACATATTTACCATCCCATAAGACTAAAAAAAGGCCTGCAACAAGCCATGTAGCACCAGTA